TAAATCAATATCTTCATATGCCACTAATGAAAACTTGTTGCTTCTTCCTGATTTCTTCTTACTTGGTAAACTCCTTATACTCTGCTTTTAGATCCTGTATTTTATTTTAAAAGACCCTCAAATACAGGAAAGAGAGAGAGGGAGAGAGAAGGACCCTTGTAAAGAACATTAGTGGTGGAACTGCAGCTCAAATCCATTTCCCTGTAAGAACTAATCTTCCCACCACAATTTAAGGCCCCTCAGAGTGTCTAAGATAAGAGCAGTGGATATCTCTGTGACAATAATCTTCTGTGTCCTGAAATATGGTCACCACTTATTCTTCCATACTAAAAATTCCACATAAAAGAACAAGATGTTTTCAATAAATACCACAGTGATGTCTACTCTTGAATTACTCTTCTATTTTGGTTACTTAAACCTGTAAGATATTCAGTCTCCAGATCCATGAAGGCATTTTCTATAATTGGGAGAAACTCTTCACCTCAAATGTTCATCCAGTGCAATTTGATGAAGACACAGTACCAGACATTGGATTGAAAGCCTTCATAGAAAGTGTCTGCCCAGAGACAGATGAGGTGATTTGGCTCCAGTGCTGATTGGTTTCTTTCCTAGTGACTCTCCAATCCTAACATGCATGGAAACATAGGTTTTTATTCTCTGAGGTACATCAGATCCCGCGGGTATGAGTTGTGTTGACTGCCTTTACTCATTTCCCCTTGTTCTCAACTATGTCTTAGAAGATGGCTCTTCAGCTCCCTAGAGGCCTCTGGACAGCAGCTGTGATGGACATGCTGATGCTGCTGAGCACCTCGAAGGCTGAGGGCAGAGACTCTCCACATAATTGCAAGGCAGCTACTCTCCAGAACCACCACTGTGGGGAACAGGATCTGAGGGATGCTCTGGCTGGAGTGCGGGGCTAGTGATCTCTATGATCTGAGAACACAGTCTTTTACTATAGACTTCCTATTCTTGGAAAAGAGGGCTATGCTACATTCTTATTTCCTTTTTCAATAGTGAGGTGAGGATAGTCCCCATCCCACGAGCTCAAGCCTGGAGGTGTTATAATGGGATGGAGGAAACAAAGTGTGTATGTACTACCAGTGACAGGACACAGTGGGTGTGAGGTTATTTTTGAAGGTATGATTTTCACAAAAGAAGAGAGCAGGATTTGTAATTTCAGAGTGGAGAGATAAAGAATAGGACATGTAAATAGGTACGGAAAAGTGTGTTGTATTTGATAATGAATAGCAATCTGATTATGGGTTGGGGAAGTGTAGGGCAGCAATGGTCTCTGTAGTGTCAGTATTTGAAGAAAAGGACTCTACATTCCTGACTATGAGTGTAAGGTTCATGGAGGCAAACTCTTGGTATTTGAGTGAAAACAGCTGGGCGACCACATACAGGGAATATTACCTTCAGGTTTCACTGACTTATGATCAAATAGAGACTTGAGTGGGAATCAAAGATTCGAGTTCATCGTGGACAGAATTTAGGAGAGACTGTAAAGAAGGAAAGTAATATTTAATGAGTACTCATTTCAGACTCAGGATTAGTATCTTTACATAAATTCTCAATCCTCCCTAACCCCCCTCTGTGTAGGTATTATGACTCTTTACACAGTTGAGCTTGATATGAACACCCTATTAAGTAACCTGCCCAAGATAGTAATTGGCACAGCTTAATTGGACTGTTTTATTTCAAAACTTTGTGCTCTTCCCTTGAATAAAATGGACCTTTCTAAAAGAGAGGTCTCTGTCCCTTCTGACCACATGGGAGTGAAGGAACGTTACACTGTGGTTGGATGGGGGTGGAGGAAACCCAGAGTAATAGAGGCCTGGGAGAAAGAAGGCACTATGCTTGAGATCACGAGAATGTGCTTGGCAGGACAAGGACAAGCTTAATGTTAAATTCTAGACCTTTCTTTGATCTTAATAGTCATTCTCTTGAACTCTCTGGCTTATGTGGATACTTGTTTACCTTTGAGGTTTCCAATTCTACGGAAAATGGGATTTCATGCTAGAATGTTCTGATCCCTCTAAGTACAGGGACAATGTAAATAAACCTGGCTGCCCTTTTTACTCAGTTATAGGTTCAGGCAGGGAGCCCAGATCCCAGGGCTTGCTCTTAGGGACAGAGCTCTCCTCTCTCTCTTGCCTATCTGAAGGCAAAGCCCTTGGAGTCGGGCGGGTGGAGCTAGGTGGGGAGGAAGAAGGGGAGGGTAGCGGCCCTAAGGACCCTGGGTTCAGGGATGGCGGGGAGATGCGGGGCTTGATTGGGTCTGGGACCAGGGAGGAGGCGGGGCCCAAAGGCTCCTCCAGGCGGGAACCCAATATCACCTGGCCCGGTTTTAGACTTACTCAAACTGGCCGCGGCCTACAATGCCTGGCCTGGCACCGTGGCTGATGCGTTTGGGCGTCGGGCTGAGTCTTGACTGATTGGCAGGTGATTCCCCACAGAGGATTTCCTGGTCCACAGTAAGTTCCTGTGCTACCAACAGAATGGAGCGGGTGCGGCTTGTGGAGAGATGCATCTATAATCAGGAGAAGACTGTGCGCTTCGACAGCGACATGGGGGAGTTCGTGGCACTGACGCCGCTGGGGCGGCCTGACACGGAGTACTGGAACGGCCAGAAGGAGCTCCTGGAGCAAAGAGGGGCCTACGTGGACACGCTGTGCAGACACAACTACCAGGTTTATGGGAGCTTCACGGTGCAGCGGCGAGGTGAGCGCCTCTCCGCCCTCGCGGGGCCCACATGGGGCCGGGGGTCGAGTCTCCGGGAGCCTCTTGGAGCCTCACGACTGAGGGAGCGAGTTGAGATAGGGCCCAGTGTGTGGGGGGAGGGGGGGCCTCGAACCCAGGTCCCCAGACCATGGAGGGGACAGGAAGGCTGGGCAGGTCCTGCGGAGGGGGTACTCAGAGGAGAGGAGGGAGGAGGACCTCAGCAACCGTTGAACATTACTTGCAGAGGTGAGCAAGGCCTGTCCATCAGAACCCAGCCTGCCTAATTGTACTAGTTAGTCCTCTGCTATTTTTTTCCCAGTAATTCTGTAAAATCTCGCCTCGTGCGTTATGTGTGCCGTATTTTGCTTTAAAATAAAAACCCGTTGCCAGACATATGAGTCGATTCCAAATCACAGCAACCATATAGGACAGAGTAGAACTGCCCCATAGGGTTTCCAAGGAGTGGCTGGTGGATTCAAACTGCCAGCTTTTTGCTTACCAGCTGAGCTCTTAACTGCTATGCCACCAGGGCTCTGATTTTGCTTTACATTTTAAAATAACTCTTACTGATGTGGATCTGAATGATCAGAATTTGTGAATGCACAGTCTGGGGCTAAAAAAAGTCTTTGCTAAGAATAAAAATAGCACTTGAGAGGTGTTATAAGGCAGATTTTTACTTTCTTAGAAAATCTCCAACAAGTGACATAATGGAAGGAGCTGGAGCTTTGGAGTAAATAAATGCAAACCATTAAATTATTGAATAAAAATTGTTACTGGTTTTCCTTGGTCTAAGACTCCCTGCTCTCCCCCCAGCATCACCAGCTACCTCAGGGGTAGAAATTCTGAAAGATAAGCATACCCATTTAATAAGTACCTATTTGTAGACCTTACTAAACACCATCTAATTACGTCATTTAATTTCACAGCTACCTTGTGAGCTGGGATTAGTATCACCACTTAGGGATGCTAATATTGGTACATAACACTCTCTTACTTCTTTCTGGCCCACATCTTAATGCCACCTAGTACTCATATTTTTGCTATTTCAGTTCTTTTCCATAAAAATTTTCTTAAAATTTTTTTGAACTTGTGTCCTCTGTTTTTACTTCCAATATGTTTAAGGCGAACAGACAATAGGAGTGCATATAGGCAGCCATGATTTGTCACATTACATTCTCTTTAGCCTAGGTCAACCTCTGCACAAGTCACAGAGTATTTTTTGATTTCAGAACAAGGAAGTAATTCTTAATAGCAAGGAGATAGAATAAGATAGGTGGTTAATAATTAAACTCACTTGAATTTAAAAAGGAAATTGGAAAAAAAAGAAAATTAGTGAACATACTATATCACCAAGTAAATAAAGCATACATTAAATATTTACTATAGGTTCACATCAATAAGGATTCCTGGTGCCCCTGTGGTTAAAGTGCTTGGCTGCTAACTGAAAGGTCAGCAGTTCAAATCCACTAGCCACTCCGCAGGAGAAAGAGGTGGCAGTCAGCTTCCATAAAGATTTACAGCATTGGAAACCCTGTAGGGGCAGTTCTACTCTGTCCTATAGGGTTGCTATGAGTTGGATTTGACACAGTGGTAGTGGGTTTGGTTTGTTTGTTTTTTTTCACAACAATGGACTAACAGCGGTACAATAAAATGGGTGGAGAGATAAAGAATAGGACATGTAAATAGGTAGGGAAAAGTGTGTTGTATCTGATAATGAATAGCAATCTGAGAAGATAAAGGAATTGAGGCATGGACAAGCATGATGTTTTATCAGTGTTGTTTTCAAAGCTCCCCTACTTTTCCTTCAAAACATCTAAGTTTTTGAAATGACATATTCATTTGTCTGTCTCTGTTGTTAGATCTCAAGTTCTACCAAAGCAGGGACCATAGTCTGTTGTTACCTTTGGATTCCTAGTGCTTGTCAAATACATATTTGTTGAATGAAGTAATAAATAAATCAATGAACTAATAAAATACAGTGTAGGTGGCATTTCTGATGTCCAGGTAGAAGTTTATGTACTTAGTAATACAATTTTGTGGGGAGTTCACCATAGAAGCTAAGGTTAGGCTGAAAGTTGAGAGGGATGTAGTGTTGACTGGCAACACATAAAAAGTTCTTATTTTCAAATTTTGTTCTTATTACAGGTTGAGAATTACAGAATAGAGCCTGCTTGAGAAGCATTGCTGTGTGAAAGGAAGCGACGGTTACTGTTGCCCTCCTGTTGATCAGACATAGAAATGTCTGTACATTCTTAATTATCAGTCCATGGTACTATTCATGGGACCGCAGCCAGTGTTGATGATCTCTCACCAGCAGATGACAGTCTTGTTATTGTTGATGCTGGGTGCTGCTGAAATTGTTTTCGACTCATAGCAACCGCATGTGACAGTGTAGACCTTCCCCATAGGGTTATCTTGGCTGTAATCTTTATAGATGCAGATTACCAGGTCTTTCTCCAGTGGAGCTTCTGGGTGGGTTCAATCTTTTAGTTAGCAGTGGAGCACTTCTAAGCTGATGTATTTTCTCTACTGTGGGGAGCAGTGAGACTAACAGAAAACAGTGTCACAATCTTAGTGTGACTCACCAGAGACAACCTTGATGATGGCCTTCGATAAACTCAAAAACCAATCCTGTTGCCATCAAATCGATTCCAACTCATGGCAACCCCATGTGTTAGAGTAGAACTGCTCCATAGGGTTTCTTGGCTATAATCTTTACAGAAGCAGATCACCGGACCTTTCTTTTGTGGTTGTGCTAGGTGGGTTTGAACCACCAACCTTTAGTTTTGTAGCTGATTTCAAACTGCTTGTATCACCCAGGGACTTCAACAGGCATGAAAGCAAAAGAGTCCAGGTTTACTATGTTATAATTTTAATTGTATGAGTATTGGCCTGTGTACTATAGAAATTTATAATTCCAAAGTGCTTCAATTTTATCAACATAGTAACTCCCATAGAATTATTATTGTTATCTCTTGAGACTCTGAAAAATAAACTGACTAATGCTTGTTATGGAGCTAATAAGTGAACGACCTCAGATTCTAATTCAAGACTTGGAATCCAGGAATCTTTCTCCATTGGTACCAATGAGAGTCTTAACCCCATGGAGAGACTGGCTGTGTGGTCTCACATCTCATTTACTGTGCTTTTTTTCTGTCTGTTACTTCCCTCAGTGGAGCCTGAAGTGACCGTGTCTCCAGCCAGGACAGACCACCATAACCTGCAAGTCTGCTCAGTGACAGATTTCTATCCAGGTCAAGTCAAAGTCTGGTGGTTTTGGAATGACCGGGAGGAGACAGCTGGCATTGTGTCCACTCCCCTCATTAGGAATGGCGACTGGACCTTCCAGATCCTTGTGATGCTGGGAATGACTCCCCAGCGTGGAGATGTCTACACCTGCCACATAGAGCACCCCAGCCTCCAGAGCCCCATCACAGTGGAGTGGCATAAGAGGCAGTTTGTTTCCTTCTACTGTGTGACCCACAAGACATCCCCTCTGGCCCTTCTCATCCCCTCCCTTATCCCTGACGGCACTACTGTGCTGGGAGTTACAGAAGATTAGAGCATCTCCTACTCCATGGCAAGAGCATCCAGAGAATCCTAATCTCACTATCCTTCCAGGTGCACACTGTGGTCCTGGAACCCAGCCCTGACACTGCTTGGGGATTGAGTATTAAGGGTAGTTACTGGGATCTTAGGATCTAAGGTGATGGCTGTATCCCCGAGGAGCAGAGATTTGCTTCCCTCCTTCTCCCTCACTGTCCACTGTGCCAAGGATCTATGGGCTGGTCCTTCCCTCCCCCAGGTGCAGTCACAGTGGAGAACTAGGCTCCCCTGGCACCTCCGTCTCCTGTACCATTGTCTTTTTTTTCTGTTACTTCCCAAATGGGACACTGGGATGTGAGGACAAATGTTGACACTCAGGCTTCTGCTCCCCAGGCGCGTAGTCTGAATCTGCCCAGAGCAAGATGCTGAGTAGTGTCGGAGGCTTTGTGTTGGGGCTGATCTTCCTTGGGCTGGGCCTTATCATCCATCATAGGAGCCAGAAAGGTAAGGAGCTCTGGGGGGAATCAGAGAAGATGGGCTGTGTCTGGGACCCTCTGTTCAGGGAAGCCTCTGCCTTAGATGTAGCTCTTTGCTCCTGATCCTGAAAGGAAAGCGACTGGGCTGATGGTGGAAGGAGATGGAGAACACAGGGGGAGACATTGGAATCTGAGTTTACTGGTTGAAATGGAGCTCTATCACAGAGCTGACTGGTAGGGTGTATCCCAGGATTTCATTACAGATCACCATTGTCTCACTGGCTCCTCTCTGAAAGCTTCCTCTATTTAGAGAGTCAGAGCTTCAGCTTCCTTCTAGTGACAGCTTCCTTCATTTTAGGGGTTTAAGCTTAAGGCAGTTAATACCTCTTGGTAAATGGGTGGGGGAGAGAATGTTACTCGCCAATATCCTTTGGGGTGAGTGAAAGAATTTTTTTTTTCGGTAACGACCTTTTTCTATAACTTTCTTTTGTAGGACCTCGTGGGCCTCCACCAACAGGTAACAAGTCTGTTCTGATCCATGGGGGGCAGGGGAGGAGGTGTAAGAGTGAAGGGCATGATGTGAGTGTGCCTGGGCTCAGTGGTCTAGGTTCATG